ATATGTAGCAGCTTAAGTCGTAATATATGCACCAGCTTAAGTCTAATATGTGTTGCAGCTTAAGTCTAATATATGTAGCAGCTTAAGTCGTAATATATGTAGCATCTTAAGTCTAATTATATATATTTACCTGAGTTGAGAAACTTTATTTTAGTCACTGGGAATAAACCGTCTATTTTTGTTCTGTTTTTGTTCTGCAAGTCCTTGTTCCACGTATTGACGAGGTTAATAACAGTCGACGACACAATTTTTTTTTTGTTTTCAAATAAAATATTAACGTAGAAGCCACAGTCGTAGGCTTCGGTTGTTCATGTTTATGAGAACGGAGATTAAACCAGACACTAATTTGAGAACAAAGAGCAGCAGCTGCACAGCAGCGTCACAGGCCTGAACCAGATTCTCACAAAGATTACATATTATAATACAGATTTAAACAAATGGAGAAATTTCCCTCTTCCTTCCTGGAATACATCTGCTGCAGTTCTTCTTGTTTTCTTCATCAGTACAGTGGGTGGTAAGAGCTCTCGTGTCCCTGGGAGGGTTGCGTTTGAGTAACTCCAGGAAGTCACAACATGATCCTCGGGGAATTTTAATGCCTCCGTATGAAACGCTGGGAGCTTTTTGGTATTCTTTAACAATACCATCACAGAAGGAACCGCGTGTTATCTCAGGATGAAAAATGTAAGTTCTTATATTTAATACGGTGTATGTCTGTGAGAGGATGTAAAATGTTTGTCACTAAGTCACTAATAGTAAATACAAAAAAATGGAAAGTTGCTGATGATTTTTAAGCAATTTAAGCAAAATCTTATTATATATAGCAGACCAGTCCCTCTATATATGACAATATATTATATATTGAATTATATTTATTTATATAAGTCTTAAGTCTTACTTATATTTATAGCAACTCCATTCCTTATATATAGATGAATATATAGTAATACATACATATATTTATATAATTATTTATATATGTATATATTTTTATATTTATACATATTTGTACATATATGTATATGGTGAATATGTTATATATATATAAAATCTTCATTTTATCTAACGCAGTGGTTCTCAAACTGTGGTACGTGTACCACCAGTGGTACATGAGCGCTCTCTAGTGGCACGCGGGGAAAATTCATATTTTCACATTTACATTTTTTAATTGAATAAATCTGAAACGTACCACGCACAATTAATACAACATTTAGGAAAAAAATGTGTAGCTACTTGTGAGATTATGAAACAGGATTTTTCTATTATTTAATACATTTAAATAAGCGCTCCTTTTTTTTAAAGTTTGCAGCAGTGATGTAAAACAGTGGAACTGAAAGCTTCGGCTCACGACGTGTGCAGGCATTTTCAGTCATCCACTGCTGGGTCGAAGGTCAACGCACCCTGCGGAGCCTGGTTCTAATCACTCTTTGCGTTTACTCGCTCATCAAGTCTTCTGACTTTCCCTTCACTTCAGAGACAGCTCTGTGCAGCTCCATCCTGCACCAGCCGCCGTCTCGAGCTCTACCTGGTTCCTCCAAAACCGCTTCTAATCATCTCCCATCATCTTTATTGTTTCATTGTTTTTGAAATACTAAAAGCCTCGCACCGGGCCTCGCTTCCATTCTCTGTTGCAGACACATAATTAGGATCCCTTTATAGAAAAATTACATTCAGCCTCGCTCCTGCAATGCAATGCCTGCCTTTTCCCCCTCTTATCTTGTCACTGTCGCTGACATTAATTAGCTGTGTCCATGGCTGAGTCACGTGGGATTGAACCTGTGTTTAACGTCTTCCTTGTTGCGCGGAAAAACAAGTCATTTCATTAAACAAGCATTACTGACGAGTCACCTGTCAAATATCCTGCATCCTGCTTCATTTACCATTTGTTAATAACAAATCTTTTTTTTTTTTTTTTTTTTTTTTTTTTTTTTTTTAAAAAAAGACTAACGACTTCTGTCATATTGAAGTCTGCTGCAGGTAAATCCAAGTGCAGGGTTGGCTGTTCTTCTCGTTCGACTGCAGAACCTTTCTATTCTCGCTCATCTAAGCAATCGTCCAAGTTGCCCAACGGGGTCGGCACATGAGCCACAAACAAACTCTGCAGGTATTCTCCCAGATAACGGAGCGCGTGTGCTGTACGTGATTCATAGAGGTGACATGGAATTTCTAAAGCCGCTCGAGATAACAGAAGGTTACGTCGGCGCGGCCTCCTCACTGAGAGCCTTATGTTTTATTCAGCGTTGTTCTCGCGGCCACACAATGTGCTTTGTCTCGTTACTGTGGGTTTTTTTTTTGTTTAAAAAAAGGGAAAACGTAAACCATCAATTTGGAAGCATCTCATCTTCACAGCTGTTTGGTTTAACTGAGATGATTGTTCACGGCTCCATGAACCAAAATTGAATTGCAAAAAAGTTTATTCCAAACAAAGTTCCACGGGATGGATGCTCAGGTGGGGGAGACACAGCCGTCCTTCCTACACCTACACAACACAACACAGTCCTCACCCATTGTTCACTTTTCCATTGGAGTGAGACTCGAGGCTAAAAATAGCTTTGCATTCATTACACTCTGGAGGTGAGAAACCCACCAAACGTGCAGTACAAGCATGCAAGGCTCTAATTAAGCACATTTAAATTCAGTTTTTATCGTTCTTTAGGGCAAACGCTCCCGTACTTGACACAACGCACAGCTGAGCTCCGTGTGCTGCAGCCAGGCTAACTCTCTTAGCTAGAGAAGGGCTACGGTTTCGATTATGGATTTAAGTAAAAAAAAAAATACATCAATAAAATAAAATAAAGACAGAGATGAACAGAAATT